CCGGGTCGTGTCACACGGTGTTTTGTCACGACCCGACACTACATTTTCATAGGGGGACCCTGGCCTTGGATGTTCTACCATATCATGAAAGAGATCGCTTGGATCACCCATGCGACGTGTCCACCATCTTCTGTTGTTCGAGTATCGCCCCACGGTGAACTGTGGCCTCCCGGATCTTCGCTTGCAAAGCCTTCACCACGGCAGAGGCAGCATCGTCCTGACTGGAGGGGGGTGAAAAGCACGACAGGACTTCCCAGCCCCAACATGTTGGTGCCAGAAGTCACAAAGGGGTGGGTTTGAGTCCCCTAACCTCCGGTAAGCACCCCTTTGTGACTGTTGGTGGACAGTTCGAACATTGAAGCTGTACCCAATCGAATTCCTCATGTTCAATCCGTGAAAGGACCAAGTGCTCCAAACATCTGCTAACTCTGTTTCTTGAAGCAAAACAAACACAACTCAAAAGAAACAACAAAATCACGTAGGGGCCCAAGGTACGTAGTGGACGAGGTTGATTAATCCCGCCGGCGCGCCTTTCCTCGATCAATGCACGGCGCGGATGTCGAGGCAGCTCGAGAATTCACCGATGTCCGGGCAGAACTGAGGTTTACATACATAACACCCCTCTTCCCTACTAGCGATGGCCTCCAACCTAATAGGTTTATAAACCTAAATCATGATGCTTAGTGTGGTGATCTATGCTTCATCAGCCTCTGGCTCGTGGCTTAATCAGAACTGAGGTCTATAAAGATCGTGATGCTTCACCCAAAAGTACACGAAGCATGCCACGGACACGAAGTATAGACACAAAGTGCCCAGTTATGACCCGATCCAAACAACTCACAGAATGGAACCCGCAGCCACCCGCCACGGAGCCGCCAAGTTGCACTACTCCCACTTTCAGCCAATAGCTGTGAGGCCCGCGGTCCAAATCATAGAGCCCAGCCAGTCTGGCGCGAAACGCCAAACGCCGCGGCTCTGTGTCTGTGTGTGTGACTAGTGGCAAGGAGATGGGAACATATTGGGAACCAATGCCAAAGCTAGCTATTATGTACAGTAGTCATTTTGGTCCTCTTTTGATCGAGATCCATTGAAGTGACACCTCAATCACTCACAAAAAAGGTCACCTGGACGTCTCCTTGACTAAGTGAAGTGGTTGATTTCTTTGGGGTGCATTCTCTGTTTGGCCCAGCGCATTTCGAGGTTCTCCCATGTTCTCCCGCCTCAACACAGCGCCTTTGCCGGCGACCGCGGCTTCCGCACTCAGCATCCGTTGGGCGCTGCTGCTGTCGCTCAGGGCGCCCGATTCGTCCACGGTCTGGCCCGAGTCCTGCAGCACAACCGGGCCTTTAGGGAAACCATGTGGAAACAAGAAGAAACATGGATCTAAAATAGACACATGAAGGCATCTTAAAACATTTTTTTTTTTCGGCCGATGTTGCCTTGTTTCACGGTTCTTCAAAACACGCTAAGAATCCTTGGGCTCTCCATGGCAGGGGGTCGGACCCTCAATGGCAGGGGTCTGGGCCCTCAAAACCCTATCTGTTTGAGGGCCCGGATTCTTAGGGCAGAATATCTGTTTCCTCTTTTGCGGGTGTATATGATAGACTCAGTTCGCATTCCGAAGGGGAACTTTCCTCCACCTGTCAAGAGCTCCACCATGAAGGGATTCCTTGATGATCCAACCTCGATCACCTCTTCAGCTTTTCTCTATATCTGCAGACATCCACCCAACTGGTTCCCTCCAAGCTACTGAACCACGCAGAACCACACTGAACCATACTGAACCAGCCCCCACTCCGCCTGCTACTTGACCCCAAGCCGACCAAAACCTCCAGAAACCCACTCCGCTGGCCGCCGTCCTCGGCGAAGACGCTCGCGGACGATGTGAAGACCGCCATGCCGCCCTCGGCCAGCGCCGCCAGCGCCTCGGCGACGGCGGCGCCGTAGTCGGAGCTCCTAAAGGGCGCGTGAGTTCGGTCAGGTCGGTGGGTTTACAGGGTGAAAGGGTTGATGTTTGATTGTGGTTGATGAAGTTTGACAAGGATGACAGGGATTGATGGGTATAGACTGAGGAAAATATAGTGAGAGAATGAATTGCGTGTCTGGGTGGCGTGTGACATGAAGGGTGCTTCAATCTTTGCAGCTCCTTTCCGATGGCTTTTCAGCATGTGCCTTTGAGGCACTCCATTGATCATGTTTGGTTGATCGTGGCCATGACTTGAATTTTGAATAAAACACATCTAACAATGATTTCTTTTGTTTTTTGGTAGATAGACTTCAAACTTCCGCTGAACAATTCTTGTTACCTGGGGCAGTAGGTTTAGAGTGATTTATCGTGCGAGTAGCCCCAGGCAGCACTACCAGGGACAATACCCGTATGTCACTAGTCTTTTTTTGATGACACATCCCTCCACCCTGCGTGGAAACAGCGGTACATGGCTGAGAGTAGAACAAACAGAAGGATCCATTGATTCTTGGTGAAGCTTGCTTTCATCTGATGGTCCTATTATCTGGTGCCTTCTTTGGCTTCCCATCAGCCACCCCCCGGAAAAAAAAACAACTCAACGGAACCTGCTGGGAGGAGCACAAAAGACCACCTGGATTGCAAGAGGCAGCGTCATCGCTGCTTTCTTGATTCTTGACATGAATACGACACGGACAAGGACTCTGAATCCTTTTAAACGCTCTGTAGTTGGTCAATCACATCAACCGACAAAAAAGCAGTTCACGCCAGGAGTATTCAGCAGAACCTTCATTCGTAGCTGGGCACTCACCCATGTTTTTTCCCTCTGAAAGGGTCGTCAAGTGTTCTTTGTCCTCATAACGCCCTTCGAAACTCTAGGGACTCTATGTACCCTCAACGATAAAAAAGAAACAACAACACCACGGGTTGAACTTTGAGACCTCAAAAGCCAACTGAGCCTCTAAAGACCAACAAGAAGGCTACTAGGAACAAAGGGCATCGCTACGAACGGAGCAAGGACGCTACGAACATAGCTCCTGGCATTACTAATTAGTACCAAGAAGCTACTAGTAGCAAGATAGCCTGTTGCTACATCTCCCTTTAAAGGCCAACAATCCATCTAACACACCTCACCTCGCTTGGACAAAAGACGTCTTTTGACGGGCTATGGGAGGTAGTGTGGAGTGGGTTGTGGTCTTGTGGGCCCGAAGGAGTTGTGGAAGGTGCAGCATGACCCCTTCCTCGCCGTCCCGGCCGAGATCGCCCAGCTTCGTCAAGCGCCTGGGCGAAGCGCCTGGACTTGTCGAGGTCTGAGGCCAAAATGGGCTCCAAACCTTCCTCTCGCAGCTCACCATGATGAGCCTCTGTCAACGTCGCTGCCACCACCTGGCACGCCATCCAGGGGCCCAGGGCACGCCATCCAGGGCCCACGGCGAGGGGCACCGACCACTCGGTGGGCGAGACAGGCAACGAACTGAAGGGTGAAAGTAGCGTAACAAGAAGCTACTAGTGAAAGTGGCATGCCTCCCTTGGCGTCGACCTTGGACGTTCAGGACCTTAGAGGAACGTGAAGAGGTAATGCATCGAGTGGAGGAAGCGCTGGAAGGGACTCGGAACAAAGGAATGCCGGAACTTTACTATCCTTACTTCAAGAAAGGGTAAACCCATGCAGGTCAAGTACGACCCTGTTTTGCAGTTCTCTTCGTACTTCTACGGGGAAACTCTTGAAACACCTGTGCCTCAAGAAAGCGCTGAATCCCGAGCCTCCGGGAGCCGACCCTCCACTCATCCCTCGGACATCCACCGAACCACCGAACCAGCGGACCTTGGCCTGAGGCATTTCCTGGCGCCACAGCTTGGCCACACGGCGGCCCAGCACACCGGCGCCAACCACCAGCAAGTCCTTCCAGGACTCACTACCAGAGTCCTTACAATCCAGGATTTACCAGGATAAGCCCCAAGCACTTCTCGACCTCAACTTCATCTAATCGTCTTGGAGTGCCAGTTGATTCAAGTGCCAAACCCTTGCTTCGCTTCGGAAGGCCATCGTTTCCAGTCCTTTGGCTCTGCAGTCATCGCCGGCGCCATGCTGGGCGCCCTTGCTGTGCACCACAGCGTCACCGCCGCGAGGAGCGCGGCGGGGAGCCGCCGCCGCGACATGCCGCGCCACGGCGGCGCGGCACCGGCGCGCCACGAAGCGTTTCGTGTTCGCGTGTTTTTTTGTTGGCTTTTGCTGCGAAGAGGGTCTTTTCCGTGCTGCACGGTGAAGCCCCGTGCCCCAAAAAGGTTCGGTGCCTTGATGATGTGATTGCAGGAAACCCTTTCACTGGGTGCTTTTCGTTCAAATAAGTATATACTCAGTCTGCAGTTCCAATTGGCTGTGTCTTGAAGTCCAGAAAATGTAACAGGTTACCATGTTCTTCCGCCCAAATTGAATTTCTTTCATTGATTGACCCCTTCTCGATTTTGTCAACCTTCTGGTTGACTTTCAGCCTGATGATAGGCAATGCCGGAGGTGGGTTCCCAAGCTTCTGAATGCCAACCTGAACAAACACCTTTTGCCTTATATTTGCCTTATTCTAGGACCACCTGTGAGCTGCCATGTACAGAGTTTAAAGCTTCATTTTTTACTTGGTCATCATTTCATGTCAATAACCTCTGCTCAACATGCTCATATAATTTCTTGCGTCATCGTCGCTGTGGATTGCCTAAAGGAGCTGACCTTGCCGCAGCCCATGATGCTCTGACCGCTCTGACCTGCTCATAAACACCCTAAAAGCATCCGAATTGACAAAGTGGGAACCATGGGATACCCTTGGGTCAAAAGTGACAATCCAAATTGACCAGGACATCCTGAACTTCACCAGCTTTCACCCCCCGTACTAGCAACAAGAAGCTACTAGGTTAAAGGCCATCGCAAGTAGGTTGGAGGCCATCGCAAGTGACAATAACGCTTGTTCTATTTTCCCCCATCATCGACTTTCCCCGATGACCTCGGGCCGCGCTTCGCTGCGCGCTTCGCTGCGCGGACCCGCACCTTTTTCGCACGTCCCTCGCCCAGTGGTGGAGCGATCGCCCGCTCACCTGGCGGCACCGGACTGGGCACGGGACGACGCCTCGGCCGGACCAGGTCAGACGATGGACGAGCTCCAGGTGTTTGGGGAGGTCGGTGGGAGACCAACTTCAGCCTCCAATAGAGCCAGGTGTCGTTGAGGACTTGGATGACTTGGCTGGTGAGAAAAACGGTCTGGTTTTCGTTCGGTGACGGGGTTTCCATGGATTTCCCGTTTCACTCTGCCCTCACAGCCTTCACATATGCCTGCCTTCAAGCGACCAGGATTGCCGTCAACAGCAGCGGCCTTGCAATGAACCCAACGGTCATGATCGGCGTGCTAGCGCTGTGTTCCTTTTCGCGAAACCAATCACACGGAAAATAACTGCGTCCGCTCTGAACAAAAAAACATCAATGACGCGATCCTCCTGCCACATCATTATGCCATCTGTGAGGTCATCATGCGCATCACAAGATCTGTTTCACCATCCGGGGGACAAGCTGTGATACTTTGCGGGGAAGAATTGCCATTGAGCATGTGAGGTCAGATCTATTCTTTTTGAGGGCCAATGCCAAACAATGCCAAACGTGATCATCGCAAGACTCCACGAAGTTCGGACCGCTTCTCTTGTCAATGGCCACGGCGCGATCCAGCTCCCAAAGAGAAGACTTTGAAGGAAGAGAACATTCGTGTTCCACCCGACCCGTCTTCGATTTCACGAAAAGCCTGCACTGAGTCATTGCCCTGTCCTCCCAATGGCCTGGATTGGAAGAGAGGCGAAGAAATCCGGAACCATCGACCTCAAAGGTGCGGGGCAGGTTCGTCTTCATTCCTGCCTCGGTCACCACTCAGACGTGCAATACCTGCTTCATGCTATTTGTTTCTTGTTCAATCAAACGATAGAGACCACGTGTGTGTCCCCCTGAACGGTACACATTTCCGAAAAACCGCACCCGGTCGGGCGGCATTTCATCATTGGCTCAACAAAAAACATTGCCTGAAATGGATCGTTGAAGCCGTTCTCCGTTCTCCGTCCGGGACGCACATGCCCCGGGCCTCAGGATGGCTTCACCGGGCTTCTCTGGACCATGGATTCCATGGATCACCAGGATCTCCTCGTCTTCGGGTCCTTACAAAGCACTTCACACAGGGTGGGCTTGGTTCTTTCTGATGGGTAGACGATGCTCAAAACCATGCGAAGTGGTAGACCAACTGGACAAAGCCTAAAAGCTGAAGGGGGGGAGATGGTTTCATCCTCATCGCTGAGGGATCCGAAGGGAGGGAGAACTTCTCTAGGCCATCGCTAGTAGGTTGGAGGCCATCACTCTTAGGTTGGAGGCCATTACAATTCCTCCAACAAAATGATGTGATGCGTCGGGCGTCGCCCAAGGCATCAACTTCCAGATGTCGCTCTCTGGCGCATGTCCCGCTGGTAGCACCGTGAGTAGCAGGCACTGAAGAGTGCTAGTTGATACACATTCTTGCTATTTTGTCAGCGAATTGAGGGTCATAGATAGAGTCATAGCCCACTAGCTGGCTAATACTTGTCAATCTAAACATGCCGAGGAAGGACATCCCACGTTTGCGTCCTTGTTTCTTCCACTGCTCGATTGTGCAAAGACATGGACCATATTTCTCTAAAGTCAAAGGACATGACTGTTTGAATTGTATTTTGCATGTTGTTTGCAAGTAAGGCATGATGGAATCGGCCCATGTGTAGATTCACTCCATTTGGGTCTATAGGATCTACCTTTTACCAGAAGTGCAATGACTCTCCTGCCTGGCCAAACTAGGGCTTTAACCCACAGAGGTTTCTTTGCAGTTCAGGAAGGCCTTTCTCAAACATGGTGGAATACAGTGCTTTTCTTATAATTTTACGTCAACCGGCTAGTGTGACGACCAAGAACTTCATTCTTGCGCCCCCAAGGGCCCCGGGCTCATGGCAAACTCCAACAGGGTGGCCGACAGCAAGACCAGGGCAGTCTGAGCTTGAAAATCAAAGACATTGCTGGACATCACCGTTGCTGCATATGGGGCATATGATGGCATATGGCTTGGTCTGGCTTGATGCTTGCACACCGATCGAAACCCCTCGGTGGGGTTCTCGGTCTCCTCTGTGTCGGAGTCCGCGCCTCAGCTGGAAGGCCGTGCAAGTCTGTCACCTGCGACGAAACGTGACGGCGGACGTGCCACGCGCCAGTCGGACACGTCTTGGAGATGTCCGCTCTGAAGGAAAAAAAGCAGCACTGGCTGAATAGGAATCCACATGGACCAATCAAAGCACTAGAACATTGGATTGAAGAAGTACATGGTCTTAACCCCTTCCAGCAATCCAGCCAACGAAGCCAACCAAGCGCTTGAAGTTTGGAACTGGCCTGGTTCACTCCGGGCACCAGCTTCAGATCCACTCCACGCCGATAGAGCCTGTCAACGATGTTTTTGACGGAGTTGACAGGGGGCTCATGGGAGCCTCTTGAAAAACACCCATAGCAATCCTAAGGGTCAACTCAGGCTGTCTTAAATCACCCTGCAAACCAAGGACCTCATTTGACTGGATCCGGGAACATGCAAAACCAGTACTCAAGATCAAGGACCAGGTTTAACTTGGCCAGATTGGACTTGTAGGTTCAGATTCAAACCGATTGTACCGATTCAGATCCGAGTTCAACGGGAGTCTTTTCAAACAAAGCCCGGACGGGCACCGTCCATTGGACCAGCAGTTCCATGCCGACGATAAGAGTTCACCAAGCGAGTAAAGAAGGCAAGTCGGAGGTGAAGAAGGACGTCGACCTTCATCGCCAGGGCAAATCGGAGAGGCAACGCTTTGTCCACTGGAACCCACCCCCTGGTGGTGCGGATGGAGAGCTGGGCTCGAAGTGGAAAGAAGAGGTTTCGAAACATGCCACGCCACGCCAGAGCGAGCGTTTCTCCGTGCACCCAGTTGTATCTGGCCAGATTCCCGTGGCTGCCCTGGCTGGCAGTACTCCAGGAGAAACCAACTTGTTGCACAGTGGAGGACCAGATGCGGCGCTGCACCAATTCCGCCCCACAATCCTGCGCAAGGTTTCCAAGCATCAAAAGCGGAGGGTGTCGGGACCGAGCACTTCGCGGCAGCACAGCAAGCTTTGACGGAGACAGCTGGGTGTGTATAGCAGGGTTACCTCCCTATCAAAATGTCCCAGCTTGAGACCAAAAGCATCATCTAGACTACTAATAGGAACAAGAAGCTACTAGCAGCAAAGGGCATCGCTACTAGGAGCAAGAAACTACTAGTAACCAGGGCTATTAGCTATTGAGGCCATCGCTCTAGGTTGGAGGCCATCGCTACTAGGGTTAATGGCCAGAAAGCCAAATCCGTGGGAGGGTCGTCTGAGGTACGGAGGGCCTCCAGATTGAGCAATGACGGAGCGTTGTGGATGAAGAGCACGAGTGGGCGAAACACGAGATTCAAGAACCTCCCGACTTGTAAAGCTGACAGAGACAACAAAGGCTTGAACTCTAGATGATACATGACTGACAAATCCTCAAGAATTGTGTGGCAATGGGTTGAGACGTTGAGACGGTGATTGCCACCCTATTCCACGAGTATTATGCCCTTCTTCTTTTCTGTGCCTCTTGAAAAGAAGATTGAGTGATTTGGAAGGTTCTCTTTTTTTGCTTTCGATACTTTCTTGATCTTTCTTGATTTTTCTCGTGTCCCACCTTTGCATGCCTACGACATGTCACGCCCAAGTCTCACTCCAAGATCACGGTAAAATCACCAGACCGCCGCCGCTGTCACCGCAACACAACACACACACACACACTTACTTGAGAAAAAAGAGCTCCATGGAGCAAGATTTCAGGTTGGATCTCGATGCTCATTAGCCCTTTACGTTACTGCATTAGCCGAGTGCATTAGACCTTTATAGCGAAACACCGCATTAGACAGCTGACAGCTTCTGGGCCATACTTAGGCTCACAAGGATTCAGTGGAGTGAAGATTAAAAGATTGGTGCGTACAGGTACGTTTTCACGGCAACATGGACGGGTCTTCGTTGGCCCATGCCATCCAAGTGCCCATGGGCCCCCTGCGATGGTCTGTACAAATCCACCAGTAAAGAGTTAATAGAAAGGTAGAGTCCCTGGAAAGGGGAGGTGCCACACACACACACACTGACTGCTCCGCCTGAGCGCTTCCTCCAACGGCGCAGTGCTGAAAACGTCCTGAGCCGTGCGGAAGATCACCTCGTCCCAGCCGAGTTCGCCTCAGTCCGAGTGGTGAAGAGTCAGACGTCTGCACATGCAATGCACGCTTGTACCGCTTGGGTTTAAGATCTATAATATAAGAACTGAATAGAAGACTACTACTTACTTACTTGTGTCCATTTCTGAGAAAAACAGTGTGATGAAGGATGTACTATATTCATTTCTTTCACTCCCAAGACTCCCCCTGACTCCTTCAGCGAAGGATGGCGCATGACTCAGCTCCATTCGTCTTCCCCGTTTCGATCCACCCCGTTGAACCTGGTGAGTCCAAGTGCTCCAAGAGCCTAGGCCACTGGGAGCGCCAGTCGGAGGATGCCGAGGGCGAAGGTGGTGGGGAACGGGCGTGGACAGGGTTGTCGTTTTGATCGCTACTAGGGCGAGCTTAAAGGCCATCGCGTTTGTAGGTTGGAGGCCATCGCTCTTAGTGGCATGTCACGAACTCGTTCTAGGGATGACACATGATGAAATAATGGATGACACATGTCCCAAGAAACGTCACCGGGTGATTCAACAACTGTGGTCATCCAGTATCTCAAGATTATATAAGCACTGTAAGGGCAGTAGATAAGAACCTGCATAAGTAGATGCAGCGTTACATCATATGTGATTTCGTGTGAGCGCCCTAGACCAGTCCCTCGGACTAGCGACCTCCCCCGGCACCACCCCGGCGACGGCACGGAACCGACCGGTCACCGGAAACTACGAAAGGAACTGATAGCTTCTTGTTACTAGTAGTAACAAGTGCATCGCTACTACTAACAAGTGCCTTACTAGTAGTAACAAAGAAGCTATTACTTAAATTAACTTAAATTGAAGTCTAATAGCTTCTTGTTACTACTAGTAAGGCACCTGTTACTACTAGCGTGGC